AACCCAAACCAGTCTGGGATTCTATGATCCTAAAGGTCTTTTCTAACCCAAATAATTCTATGATTCTATGCAATTGCTGCATGTTTTGATATCTGAACTGTTTTCTGTGGCACAAGAGATTTCAGTTTTCTTTCCTTCACAGTTCAGTGGGGACTGCCAACAATTTCAGCTGCTGGAGTAATAGGGATGCTCAGCGCCGTTGTTGCTAGCATTATTGAATCAATAGGAGATTACTATGCCTGTGCCAGGTTGTCTTGTGCTCCTCCTCCTCCTATTCATGCAATAAACAGGTATGTCCAAAAAAAAAAGGTATTTTTCAGTTTCTTAAGCTGCTTTTATGGGTTTTTCTCCTTGGAATAAGACAGGAACATGCTCTGAGGTGGTATTTTACAGTTTGGTCAAACAGAAGGGCCAAAGATCTGAAGTTTAAGATAGAACTGTCATGCTTAATAATTCTGTTGCAAATGTAGCATTGGAAACCTACTCCTATTCCTGCTTGAGTCTGTGGATGTTAATAGTACAGTTTCTACAGGGACAGAACTCTAAATCAGATCTGGAATTAGGGGAGCTTGTCTCATTCACCTTAAATGCAGTTCTAGAGGTAAAAAGCAGCTCTAAGTTTGACTTAATTTCCTCAGTTTAGGAATGTGGGTATCTAAGGCATAGAAAACAGGACTCAAGTTGGGTTTCCAGGTGTGTTGCAGCTTGAAGTGTGAGTTATCATTATTCATGTGGGACAGATACCTTGGCAGGCTCCCCTTGCAGGTGTAAAGCACCAGCTGAAGTGAGTCTACTCTAATCTAATACAAGTTTGCCTCTCTTTTCTTTTTCCCTGTTTTTGATTTACAGAGGGATTTTCATTGAGGGTCTCTCCTGTGTCCTGGATGGAGTATTTGGGACAGGGAATGGATCAACTTCTTCCAGCCCTAACATTGGTGTCTTGGGCATCACAAAGGTATGTGCTTTACCTTGGTTACTCGGTGATGTATTTTTATCTCCTCTGGTGGGTGGCTCATGCCATTTTCATGTTTCACAGCATGATCCTCTTCCAAGAAACCGTACTATTTAGGACATGGTGCAGACAAACTTTACCCACTGTTCTGAATTTACCTGATGTGTCTGTACCAGCTCTTTTCTAATGGAAATGCACTCTAGAGAAGGACTTAATCTGATTTTTATTTAAAGGGCAGTTAGAAAACCTGCATAAAGCAGATGATGCTAAATAAGCTATCCCTTTGAAAACCAAGATGACATTCCAGGGCTCTAGGGGGTTTGAGTTGAGGCATAAACACTGTAAACTGTATAGAAATTGCTACTTTTTGGGATGTCTTGATTCTGAAAGCATCACTGGAGTACTGACTGGTGTTAATGCCTCACTTGAACACACAGTAAAATGCAACTTGAGGTTCTTGGGTTTTACTGGGATCTGTTAGAGTGAGTCCAGAGGAGACAACGGAGCTGCTGTGAGGGCTGGAGCAGCTCTGCTCTGGAGCCAGGCTGAGAGAGCTGGGCTGGGTCAGCTGGGGAAGAGAAGGCTCCTGAAGGGGACACCTTAGAGCAGCTCCAGTGCCTAAAGGGGCTCCAGGAAACCTGGAGAGGGGCTTTGGACAAGGGATGTAGGGACAGGACAAGGGGAATGGCTTGAACCTGCCAGAGGGGAGATTGAGATGAGCTCTTGGGCAGAAGCTCTTCCCTGTGAGGGGGCTGAGGCGCTGGCACAGGGTGCCCAGAGAAGCTGTGGCTGCCTCATCCCTGGCAGTGTTCAAGGCCAGGTTGGACACAGGGGCTTGGAGCAACCTGCTCTAGTGGAAGGTGTCCCTGCCTGTGGCAGGGGTTGGAGCTGGATGAGCTTTAAGGTCCTTTCCAACCCAAACCACTCTGGGATTCTGTGATTTATTTATCTCTGCACTGACACTACAGTCAAGGTAACTTCAAACTTAAATGCACCCTCAGTATTTGTTTCCATCATGATAGGTTTTTAAGGCCCTGAGCATTCTTAGGAATTACATACTTTTGGGGGTGCTTCTCAGCAAAATATCTAAGCACTTGAGGAGTTGCTTTGTTCACGTGTTGGACTGGATGTGTGCTTCAA